CTTTCATAGTTCAGCTTCCAGTACCAAACTTGGTGCCTGTGCTTGTTTCCATGCACAGTTTGATATCAGGTCCACTATACCAAATAGCATGAATATTTTAGGTTTTAAAAGAATTTTATACCCAAAATATTTTATGTTAGTGAGATCAGCTCCTTCATGGAGTATCAGCTTTTTAGTTCAGGAAAACACTTGTTTAGTAGTGAATAATTCGTATAAAAACTGTTGAGTCAATCATTTAGAGGCTTTGGTGACTGATGACCCCTTGTTTTCTTCACTGCAGCCTGGTCACTGTGCCTGAAGCCATGGAGAGGCCCCTCTCATGTTTGTATTTTCATTAACAAAGTCCTAAATTTACACTGTGAAGAATTCCAACAGCTTGCAATGAGAATGAAATATGTTGAGCACAAACACACGACTGTACTCTCTCAAACACACTCTTGCTGCTGTTGCAGCCCCTCCATGGAGAATTTTCACGTGGATGCCCCTTTGAGAACTTCATGACAAAGTCTGGTCACTTGTTCAACAAAGGTAAGTTTAAAGAAATTTAATTTGTGTAACCAGGCTCAGACTTTGTGCCAAAGTGACTCAGGTAAGCACAGAAATGCCATTATGTCTGTTTTCAGCAGGAGAGGGCCAAGAGGTGGGAGGTTTGGTAAATAGCATTTGCAAATCTTATTACTTCCTCTCTAGAATTAATAAATTCCAGTAGCACAGAAATTGTTAATTTAAGGGTGTTCTCAAGAAAGGATTGATAACTTTTAAGCATTGGATTAATTATCAGTCCTAATTATGTAGCTAAGAACTCTAATAGAAACACAACAATTTCTAGTCAGCAGAACTTTTGAGAAAGTTTTCAAGCATATTGCTCTAAATTAAATGAGCATTTTTAAAATGTAACCAAATGTTCTGAATTAAGGTCATAACATTGAAAAAAGTAGTTACTAGAAAAGTGGAAAAAAGAAGCTACTTTCTCTGGCTTGGTTTCTTATAGAAGACAAAGCACTGATTACAAACAGTTATTGACATGATGGCAGAACATGAAAGAACTGCATTAAGGATTGAAGCTACTTTCAATAGCACTGCTGGAATGACTTTAATAGAACTTTCAAAACCGCTTTTTGAGATATTTGGAATTTGCATGTTCTCTTGACTTAAGGTATATTAAAAAGTTCTGCAAATATATTCAGTATTATAGTCTATAGAGAGTATAACATAAAACTCTTTAATTTCCATGGGAATAACCTTATGCTTATTTCATTGTGAGTTTCAGATGAAAGTTTGTGTTTCTTGGGGTTTTCTTATATATACATGTGGTTTAAAACATATTTTGTGAAAATACAATGTAAAAGCTGCTCATGTGAGCACTTGATTTTAGGAAAGAAAATAAAAACAAAGGTTGAGGTTAGAGATAGTGTTAAGATCTTTGACAGTGGTTTCTTGTACATGGCTTTACCTTTTTGAATACAGAAATATGAATGCTACAAGAAATCCATAATGGTTTTATTGGGCTGGTACATATTGTTTAGAAGTAAATAACATAGTTTGTTTTGGTATAATACTGCACCAGTTGTGACCAGTCATGACTGGGTTATTCAAGCTCCCTCATTCATTTTAGCCAATTAGTTTGGCTGCTTATCAGGAAGTGACTTCAGTAAGGAAGCACAGTAATTCAATTATCAAGCACTTCTTTTCTTACCCTTCCAAGAAAATGCATATGAACTCAATGTAAGAAAAACATTTATTTGCAGCTTCTTGTCTTTGATAACTCATTATGTTACACACATTATGATTCACCCCAGAATGCTTATCTGTCATGGAGGGTGGGAGGAGGAGAATGAAAAATTCTTGCACCACCTAAAACATATATCATTGCCTTGTAGGCAGTGATACCATTTCCAGGAGAAATAACTCAGTTATCTGTTTGGAGGAAATTCCTCCAGCACCTGGGTGTTGTACCCTTTTTTTCTGATCACCTTGAGAGAAGCAATAAGAAAATCTCCAGCTTGGGAACCATATTGCCCCAGGGCAGCTCCTGATCCTTGTGAAAAACTGAGTTTGGATTGCTGAAATTGTAATGTATCCTCTGAATATTATTGTTAATATATTTTAAGAAATTGAAATAATGATAAGGATTGGAGAGTGTTCAGAGCATTGCACAGTCACTGGTCAAAGTTCACACTCCATTGCTCTCAGTGAGAAGGAAAAAATTAATATATGACTAAATTCACAACATTGCATGACAGGCAACAGAATTATCACTCCTGAGAGATAATTTAGCTTTGGAGAAAACTTCAGATGTCTACGAGTAATTTTTGGATAGTTTTTGCTGTCTTTATTTCACACACATAAATTCACAAAAAATAACTATCCATACTTTGGGTTGGAAAAGACCAGTGTTAAATTCAGCTGTATTTTTATTTTTATTCAGGAAGACAAGACATCTTCATTCCACTTTGAGTGTTATGCATGGCTTCAACTTGCAGCTACCTGACGGAAACTCACTGCCTGTATTGTGGTAGTTGGAAAGAGCTTCTTATTTTTTTAATATCAACTTATAGTAGAGGGACCCTCTAGTGGTTTTTGTGGCTAAGAATATAAAACCTCTCCAAAAGCTGTTCACACGTGCCCAGCAATGGGCCAGCAAGATCTGTGAAGTAGCCGTGCTGCAGGTAACAGGAAGGAAGCTCTAAGCTGAGCCTAGAAGTCCTGGACATTTATGATTCTGGGGAGAAATGCAGAGAAACAAGAACAGGCAGTCAGCTGTAGGAGAGAACAAATTCATCCAAAGGGCTGTGTTGTATGAACAGACTCAGAATAATGAAGGAAGTAAAAAAGGGAATATTTTCACTTCTTTAAAAATACAATTTGGAAGATGCAATGTCGGATATCTTTCTAACAGTTAGCGTTTTTCTGTACTAACTTAAAGAAACAGAATACCAGCTTGTGGCCTTTTGGACTTTCTCTTGCAGCAGGCTATGATTTGCCAACTTTTCACCACTTCACATTTGCCCTGTGTTCAGCACCATGAGCGGGTAGGGATTTATTTAGGAACCTAAAAGAGGAAACAGATCGTGACAGAGGCTCAGGGCAATATTGGAAAGAAACAGGAATGTCAGCTTGTAGCTAAAGGAAATGTAATTGGTGGCAGAGGGGACCTCGGGAAGGAGGCGAGCAGGCAGATTTCCCAGCGGGTGCCAGGTATGGATTCCCTTGGAAGGGAGCCCTGGTTGGAGACGTTCTGCCTGTGAATCAGCAATGTGCCACTGCTGCTTTGGCTGGGCTGAGAGCTGGGCTGAGTGCTTCTGTTGCTGGGACAACAGGGCTAAACTTGAGCTGTGTGGAGCCCTTTCCAAGGAGAGTGCTGGCACAGTCCAGCTGTGAGCAAAACTGGGCTCCTGGGGCTTGTGCATCACAGACACGGACACATCTTGGTGCTCTCGTGATCAGATGAAGAAAAATATTTGTAATCTAATTGGGTTGGGCTGGGGGAAAGAAAGTCTGGAGTGGTGGACAGGTCACATCGTTTGAAACTGTCTGAAAAGAAAAAAAAATTTCTTTTGCAAAAATTATCTTGGCAAATTCTTCTCATTTCCAAGAGCAGACAGATGAGTGTTTTAGATATAAAGCATGACTCACAAATTGAGTATAAACCTGGAATGTTTTAAGGATTTTAATGTACTGGCTAAAAGGACAAAGCCCAAAGCATCTCTTTGCTTTGTGTGACATCAGAAAACGTGAGAAAAACCTTCAGCTTTCTTATTTTGCCTCAAATATGAATGCCATATTCATGAATTTTTTAAAAAATCTAGGATTACTGTTCAAGGTAAGAAGATACAAAATAACATTAAAGCTCTTAGGGCAATGTACTTTTATCTCTTGAAGGGTACTTAAACTGAGAGAGGACAAGTTTAGATTAGATATTAGGAATAAATCCTGTGGGTCGTGAGGCACAGGAAAAGGTTACCCAGAGAAGCTGTGGCAAGTTTTGCTTTTCATGTTCTATATTTTTGATGTATAAAATGTTTTTATTTGCTTTTTTGTATTTTATCATATCCTTTTAAAAATAATGAACTTTTCATTACAATTTTTTAAAATTAATAACTGTAACTTGTTTTAAAAGTAAACAGTTATTTCCTTCCCTATTACCTTGATATTTGGAAACTATAATTTGGTAAATAATTTTTTTTAAAAAGTAGTTGATTTTCTTAGAGGAGAGTCTAGTTACTGTATTCCATGGTGGAAATGGAGTTTAGTCTGTAACATTTGTTTTATTGCTAATGTCTGTGCTTTTGTGCATTTGTAGAATACACCTTTACCCACACACAGATTTTGAGTGACAAAGTTCTTGAAGGCTTATAAGTTTTCTGTAGTATTTTTTTTCCCATTCTTTCAAGCAACCCAGATATCTTCACTTTCTTTGCCTAGAAAAATTATATTTGACTCTTTGCTGAATGCTGAGCCATACCAGATATGGAGGCACGTGGCAAGAGGACAAGAACAGTAATTTTTAGATAATAGAGAGGATACTGATTTACAGATCCAGAATATGCCCTGACTTACTGGACAGCTTTGCTTTACTCTTCCCCATTTGCTACTGATGGGACAACTGTGCTTAGACATCTGCCAGAGTAGATATTCCAGAAAAAAACACTTCATGTTTTCAAATATTTTCTTCCAACATAAATAAAGCAATTTTAGTAAAAAACTCCTCAAACCTGTTTTTATTCTGTAGGAATAGTGTTCACAATGGGAGTTCTGGAACAGCTAGTCTGGAGTAGCTATTGTGGTAAACTGCCAGTTTATGAAGGGAACACTTGTTGATGGGTACTGAAAAAGATTAAAAAAACCCCCAAAACATTAAAAATTATATTAGGTGCTGAAAAGAATATCTCAGAACAGAGCCAAGATAGACTCAAAGGAGGCAAGATAGCTAAATAAGGGAAATATTTCAACAATAAAAATCAGAATATCGTTGACTCTGTTCAAATTCACAGGAGAGATGAAGGTCTCAAGGAGCTTTTCTCTTGCAAATGTTCCTGTATGGCTCAGGAAAGAAGAGGATAATCCAGTGCTGGCTAAAAAAAGGATCCCTGAACAAGTTTTCTTCCAGGATGGCTGGGTGGTCAGAGACCTTCACTGAACTGAGAGGTAAAAATGGCTCTGGTAATGACTATTCATGGCTGAGAGATCAGGTCCTGCCCACGGCTCTCCGGGCTCTGGCAGGGCAGATGCATCTCTGCCAGGCTGCCCAGGTCTGGGGCTCACAGCTCACAGCAGCCTTCAGAGGCACTCAGACTCATCTGCAGATGAATTAACTCTGAGCCTCAAAGTAGAGTGCAATGATTTTAATGACACATAGTTGGAGAGGCTAAAATATTGTAATTTCCTATCATGTGACCAAGCTGAGTATTCACAGATGAGGAAGGGAGCTTGCAAAAATATAGTGACAAGTTCAAAGCGAATGGGAAGAAGCAAAGTTCTTTTTGCTGAATTTTCTGTCATCACTACGATGAGAACATGTTGCTCTCACCATGTGTTTGTTAGTGAGAGCATCTCCTGTTCTCAATTTTTAAACAGTTATTTACACATCACATAAGGACAGGTCTGTTGGGCCTTTCTCTGCATCCAAAAGAACATACTAGATCATATTTCTTGGGTCTTTAGTATGTCCCTTTGTTTGAAAGATGGAGTATGAAAATGGTGATACAGAATACCTGCCAGCATCCTTCTTTAAATTTAAACATCTCTCTTATTCAAGGAAGTGTAATTTAGGACCTGTAATTATCAAGCCAGTGCATTATCTGCACTGGTAAAAAATCACACTGAAATGGAGATTCACTGCTGTACCCTGATGATGATGGCAATGAGTCAGCAGTGATAAAAACCCAGTAATCTTAGCAACAAGGAACCCATTTTTGCCATTGTGGGCCTGAAGTCATAACACAAAAGGCCAAGAAAAGGTTATAATTTCAGTGTCAGTTTTATGAAAACCATTAACTTGATTTTTTCGTTGTGTATTTTAGTGTACTTCAGAGCATATTTTCTTCCTTCGTGGTAACTTACATTCTCCAGTAGATGCCAATCATTTGTGACTTGAAGAAAATTTTAATTCTCTAAGTGTACCTTGCTAAACACACAGCATGTCCATCAGAATTCACAGCTACTTTGCTCTTGAATAGAGGACACTCCCCTATCAAGAGTTTTAAAACCTTATGTTTTTCCTGCCTGTAGGTGATAATGCACTTTCAGAGGCTGCTTCAAATGGGTGCTGTAAAAGAAATGTATAGGACTTCACCAAAGATAGCACAGAGTCAATATAGGAGAGTTAGAATGAACACAGAGCCAGCTGGTAAATGCAAAATGAGTGGGAATCTGTGGTCTCATAGTGGTTGTTAAGAAACTGGTAAATGGAACGTGCCAAAAAGGTATTCCATGGGCAGACTGCATGGATGCTTCTGGTTTGTGAATATGAGAACCATGCTAGTTCAAGGAGTAAGTGGAAGCAGGGAAATTTTGCTTATTAAGTTTTATTTATTTAATGGTGCACCACCACCTGTATTTAACCCAAACTCACACTAGTCCTCTACAGTTTAGTTACAGTTCATAAAGAATCACTACTAGGCTAATCATTCTATAGATTGTTGCTTTCAGATACAACCAAGGGAGACATTATTAAGAAAGAAAATATTTTCAACCTTTAAAAATGTCATGCTCACTTCAAGGCTGTGGGATGGTCTGGATGTCTTATCCAAACTACATAAGTCTGTGGGAACTTTCCCATCTAGCCTAGACAAAGGGTATAGCATTTAATCCTGCAGTAAATACCTTAGACAGTAAGTATTGCTTTAAGAGAAATAAGAATTATTTCTTTGTCTTGGCAGTCATTGTTAGGAACTGGGCTGGATGACTAAGGAATTCATTGTGTAGAATCATTGTAGATAGGGCCAGATGATATTATATTGTGCATAAAAGAAGGGAAATTAAGAAAGAAAAGGCTAAAGAGACGTGTGGAGTTGCTACCCCTTCCTTTCTGCTGAGTGTATGTGCTGTGCCCATGATGCTAGTGGAGGAAACCCCAGGCCCCTCTGAAATTTTCCTCTCATCAGCATGTATGTGTCTGGAAAACCAGTGGGGAATGTCTGCAAATAGACGCATGTGCAATTTTTCTTTATTCTAAAGTAAAATTCTTTTGCAAGCACAGAAGAGAGACTGTTTTTGGAATTCCTAAATCAGAGACAGTCCATATCTGTATAAGCATCCTTTTTATTCACTTTCTCTTCAGTTTGTGCCTTTTTTTTTTTTTTTTTTTTTTTTTTTTTGGTGGTGTCTTTTTGTTTTCATTTCTGTAACACTGTTCTATAGGCTTTGCATGCTAATGTTGTCTCTGGCCATAATCACAGAATGTTCTCAGCTGGAAGAGACCCACAAGGACCATTGGGTCCAACTCCAAAGGGAATGGTCTGCCCAGGGAGTGAACCCATGACCTTGGTGTTGTTTGCTTGCAGTGTGCTCCTACTCTCTCTGTATGTTTAGTAATTCTGTGCTTTATTTATTTTATGCTTATACTGGATTTGGAATAGGATGAATTCTTAGATTTGTCTGGCTTTCAAATTGCAGCCACCACTGCATGTAGGAACTGATGGGTTTTCCTGCTCCTGTCAGTTGTTTCAACAACACTAAAAGGCAAAAATAAGGAGTAATTTAGGAGAAAGTCAGAGATTGCACAGCTCAGCAAGGAGAGTCCAGGCAGAAACCAGCTCTGTGCATTTTCCTCACAGGAAGGAGCAATGCCAGCTATTCCCCAGTGCCAGAACAACTTTGCCTAGGAAATGAGTGAGGTAAAGACTCTCCTGAGGCTGCACTTCCTTCCTCCCTGTGCCATGAAACTCAGGGAATGCTGCTGACTGCCCTCCTGCCCTGCTCCTGGCACAGCTGGGAAAAAATGCTAGGCTGGAGCAGTGTTACCTGCACTTTCCAAGACCTTTGGAGTTGGCTGGGGGAAAGGAAAGCATCTTGCAGAATGTAGATAACTGCTGGGGCCTGGTCTTTGGTGAATGGTAAGAATACTAAGAGGAAGACTTTATTAGAAAATAAAAAATCATGCCAGTGCTGGAGAAATACTGAGATCTGAGGTGGTGGGACAGATATTAAGGTGTAAAACTCAAAATATTTTGCTGAAACTTAAATAAAAAGTATATTTTACCACTCTAAGTGCTTATACTTCTAAAAAGTCCTCCCTTTACATGGCTTAAATATAAAAATCTTTTTCCATTATATAATGAAAACATAATTATAAATAGTGTTGTTTTAGTCTGCAACAAAAACACATTTAGAGAATTTTGCTACTAGCATGTGTCTATTTTTCCTTTCAATATTTTCATTATTTCTGTGAAAGCTTCCTGATTGAACCTTCTTCTCTAAGAATTTTTTACCCATGAATTGCAGATCATTCTAATTAGCTTTTTAATTACAGCTAGAGAAGGCTCTTTAGGGCACTCCTGACTGTTGGAAACGAGTCCATGTGGGGAAAAATAAGAGGTAATTAGCTTTCAATAAAAAATAGCTACTGTCATTTTCCACTGACAAATGGAAAAGGAAACAATTTCTACACCTCATAGCAGATACAGACTTGGACTGGAAAGGACTGTTTGGCTCAGAGCCCATATGTAGAAATTACCTGAAATTTAACTAGTTTTACCACAGGTATTTGCTACGAAGATTTTGAAGGCATTGATATTCTAACTTTCTAAATTCTTGTAGCAAGTCCATTGCATCATCTGCATAAAGAGTATCCCAGTTATGTTAAATACTGAATGCCTACAGGCTCTGGAAGCAAACCCTGGAGTAAAGAAACCCTTACTGCAATCATCTGCCCAAAGTATGACAGAAGGAGCTTGAGGACAACTCCTGGAGTCCATTTGGTATGACAGGATGGGAATTCTTGTGAGTAGCAGGAACAAGTGAGGTATGGACACTGCTCTGAGGAACACATGGCTGCATTCCCTCCAGGAAACCCAGCCAAATGCACTTTGGAGCTCTCTCTACTCAATGCACGTATCTGGCTCCTGTTCAAGGTTAGCTAAGGAAAATGTGATGAAGTATTTGTGCTCCTAGCTCTTCTCTGATGTTTCAGGTCTACATCCAGGGGAGCATAAGGGACAAAGTCATTATAATTTCTCGAAGTCTATAAATATGTGGTTTGAAAGGTAGCAATACTCTGATTTGAAATTTTTTTTATAGCACATTTAAAGAAATGAATAGGCACAGAACAGTTTATTCTACTTTTTGGCTCCTTTGCTGTAATTCCCTTGTATCCAGCAATGTTTTTTTTATCATCATGTTTATTGTGTTAACTCTCTGATAGCCATTTCTGTTTCGTGTAATCTTCTTTTTGTAGCATCTAAATATTGTTATTCCTTACTAATCCAGTATTTTGTTTTCTTAAATATTTATATACAAAACGGCTGGAGATAACAGTGGACTGTCAGTGAACAGTGAACAGCTGTCTACAGCCTTCACTGTGTCAGACACCACCACTTCCCAGTGATCCCTGTCCAGTGCAGGGACAACCTTTGGAAGGAGTTTCTCTGCTCCAGGCAAACATCTGTCACCTTTCATTTGCAAATATCAAGGTAAGGAACTAAGCAAATACGTGAATACTTGTGTTCAAGCCTGTTTTCTCCTTTGATAATTTGTGCATGGCTTATGATTATGTATTTGCTGCACAACTTTGGGATTCCTTGCTGGACTCTGCCCCAAACACTGGCCAAAGCAGTTCTCTGCAGAGAAGAGTTTGCTCCTGGCTCCTTCCCAGGGAAGAACTCAGCTTAGATTGCCTGCATCCACCAAGAAATTTGGATTCACCAGACAGCACCTCTGGGCACTTTCTCCTTTGTGGCAATTTTTCATTTTGATACTGATTGTGAAATCTAAATTTCCAGGAAAGCTTGTTCATCTTACAGTCAGGAATCAACATTAGTGTGTAAGCACTTTTCAGAAAACAGGCTTTGATTTTTTTTGTATTAGTATTTTGTTAAATTCATGTAAAACAATGTATTAAGCTTCAAAGGAATTAGCAATAATCATATGATATTTTCCCTTGTAAGAGTTTTCATTTAGGATGGTGAATCTTTTTGAGGGGAAGTAAACTTTGAAGTAGTCATTAGAAGTAGTAGCTGAAAATATCTTTAAAATTCAGGGGGCAGTGAAAAAATGAGTTTAATTTAAGAATAATCTTGTATGTTATTTGCCTCAAATGAAGCTTGAACTCCATGTGGACGAATTGGAATTGTTCATTTAGGGAGTATGGTTTAAAATATGTTAAAGAGTTGCAGCTGTAGAGTGATTGATAGATAATTGTAATTATGAACAGGGGTCTGTCACCTCTGCACTTGCAGTCAGACTCTGGAATGGATTTTTGTCTAGTTCAAAATGAATTTTGTATTTTCTTGTCACATAGATGTTTAGAGTCAGATCATTATCAAAAGATAAAACTTTGCTTTAGAACTTTGGCTTCAATGGTGACTGCCATGACAAGAATGTGCAAGATACACTATTGGAGTAATTGGAATATTTTCAGAAGTAGTAATCTTTGTATCTTGCAGAGAGTGGAAGGGGATTCTTTGTCAATATTGAGGGGATATTGGTGAGTTTGTTCAATTATTGTGAGGCTACTTGTGCTATAAGAACATTTCCTTTTTTAAAATTAAATAAAAAATGTAAGGATCACTGTTTTGTCTGAGGAGGTTAGGATGCTGTGTTTCATTTTGCTGTTTAACTGCTTTTGGGCACCTATACTGCATGGGAAAATGCTACTGTATATATAATTTCTGTTCCTTTTCTACTGCTGGGTGTGAGTTACAATAAAATGTTGTAAGGAGCAACTTTTGGATGTGGGGGATTGGATTCACTTCCCTATAGTTATTAGTATAACAGTATAGAATAATTGTTAAATGGAACAGTTCTAAGTCTGTAAATACAGAGAATCAGTTAGTGGGAATAGTGGTAGAGAACTGAAGGAACAGCCATGACTTAGTGTGAGTAGAGTCTGTAACAATTTCCACCGCCTGACACTTGGTCCTAGGAACTGAAGATCAAAAAAACCTACTTGGAATTACAGATTCCTGCTGAGAACTCATGAAGAAAGGCAGGAGACATTGCATTTTTGGATGGATATTAACACACTTTAAATAGGAGTAGTAGGCAGACAGTAGTATTAACACCCAGTATTTAAGATCCCTTGGTGTGGTTAAATATTGCTCGAGTTATTTATTTGAGCTCAGGTTTGCTTATCTACCTCTACCTCGACTGATGGGATGGAGAAGATAGATACACTCAATTTAGTCTCTGCTGTTAGTTCCTGATGAAACAGACATTTGGCTTAATGTAAGTAAGTATTAATAATTTTTTATTAAAAGGTGGATTTAGAAGAAACAGGAATATGAAACCTTCAGGTAAATAATTTTATGTCCAGTCATCTTGTATTATCTGTACAAACTTCCTGCAGAAATTCAGCACTCTAGTATTAAATATAAGTAATGAAAAACACTGAAAACCAGAATAATTGTTAGTAACGCTATGTAATTACTTTCTCCCTGGGTTAATATTTTACTAGCACAGAGTTAAGACATTTGTGAAAGCCAATTTTGATCAGCTTTGTTGCATTACAGGACAAGAGAGATGTATAAATGGAGTAATATTTTATTGATCAGAAACAATACTTCTCTCTGCAATTAAAATGCATGATTCATATGAACAAGGTGAAAATGAACAACCAAAAAAATAACTTCACATTTTTTCTATTTTGTTCTTAGTGTAAGCAATAAATACAATGCCATAGCTTCTATTAATCTTATTTACATAGTACAATAAATGAATGTTGCCTGGTTGCCAGCCCAAATCTTTCTTGACATCAAAAGGAGAGTACATGTTGCAGCATTTCTACAGCCAAATACTCTTGTAGATCACCACCATGAAAAACTGCATAACATCAATGCCAACATTAAACAACCAACTGAGGAACCCTGCAATGCAGCCATTTATTAATTGGAGACAGTAGCATTAAAAGTAGACATTTTCTCTCATTGAATCATAACATGCTGGTGTGACAGTTAACAAATATAAGACAACTATTGCTGTAGCCCCTGTAGATTGACACAATAAATCCTCACTAAATTAAGAAGGAAAAAAAAGAAACAGCAAATAATAACAGGTAATAAACAAATAATCTGCATGTTCAAAGGAATCTCATAGCCTCACCAAGAGAGTTTACTTCCATCCCAGAGAATACAGCTAGGGACTACAACATTCTGTAAAGTAGGAGAGAGCCATAAGGAATCGGCATTAGGATTTGATTTTAACTTATGGTGACAGAAAAACATTTTAAGAAGCAGACCCTTCTCTTAGCTATGTAGAAACTGGAAAAAGGTGAGGTAGGAAGACAAAATAAGGAATTAGTATTTTCCAAAGCAAATGAGATTATCTAACTTCAGCAGGAGAGGGGAAACAGCTCTGCTATACCATGTGACCCTTCACAGCCAGAAAGATTTTCTTGCATATCCAGCTGGATGTGTTTCTTTTCCAAAGTGAAGTGGGGGGTATGTGCCTAGAAGAAGGATAATTTTTGTATAAAAACAATTTTCCCTCCTGAATTACCATTACAAGTTTCTCTAATAGAGGACAGAGAGCAAGGAAAAATATGTGTTAAATGACAAAATCTATAGTCTGTAAAATTTAAACCGCCTCTCTGAGAATTAAGCTTAATAAAAGTCTAATACTGTATCACACTCTAAAATCAACCATGTGTTAATTACAACAACAATCCACCAGGTACCATAAAATAATTGTCTAATAATATTCCATAAATGGCTTACAGCACATTTAAATGGACAGACACTTGTGTGGGCTTTGAGTCTCAGTGGTACCTGCAGATTTGGCAAAGGGAGCTCAAGACAGATTTATACCAGCTGGTGATCTGGTCCCACAAATGTAAAACTGCTACGCCAGAGCAGGGATTTACTGCACTACTGATACCTTCAGAACATTGCACAAATTTTAAATAACACTACAAAGATCAGCAAGCAGAGTTTAAGCAACCTCTAGTCATGTTGTAGCAGGCATTTTTACTGTCACTCTTAAAATTTCAGAGACTGTGACATCTGATTGCCAGATCCACTGCTCTACACTGCACAATCCAACAGATTCTTCAACTCATTCCCATCAACTGGCCACACAGCTCTGCAGAAGAAGGAGAAATCTTTATTTGTGCATCCTAGCTGAGATTCTATACTGTGAAACTAAATCGTTAATAAAACACTTTCGATATTCAAAGTCCAGATATAAGAACTGTAAAAAAACTAAAAGAAAGGTGCAAGTGGCATGAACTTGCCATGTCCTCCTAATGTTTTGTAAGTACAGAGCATTTAATGCCTTATGAATCACAAACTAATGAACACCAAAAATTACCTAGACACTAATGAAGCATAGAGAAAAGCTACTGGCAAAAATGTTTAAATGTCAAAGTCAAGATGTTTTGTATACAATAATTTTGTATGCAAATTTCAAACTGGTCTCAGAAAGAACTGTCTTCCAATTTTTTGACTGGACTACATGCACCAGAAATGTGCTCATTACCACAACAGTCTGTCACAGTTCCAGCATCTACTTCTTCTGCCTAATTTTTGTTTTTCCCCATTTCAAGTAAACTTAGCTGCAAATGAAATGTATAAAATTTTTTCTTACGTTTTTAATTTTCAGTGAACTCACCTCGTTTCATGCCCTCATTCTTGAGCATTTTTGTCATTTCACTTAACAAAACTGCTATTTCTTTAAAGTGTAAAAATTTAACAAAATATAAATTTCTATAAAGACATTTTCTCAAGACCTTCCTGACAACCTCCTAGTTTGTGGTGAGACCTTTATGCACCAGCAGAACCAATGAAACAACATATAAAGTACTGTTCTTAGCTAATTAACTGAGACAAAGATTCAGATTCAACCAATCGAAAATAATACTGAAATTCTCAATCCATAAAGTTTTGAACCTCTATAACACAAACTTTATACTGGATTTTCCAAATAATGAGAATTACCAGTCTTAGTTTGCTGGATGAGTCTGAGTCTCTCTCATATACTGGCTTTAAAGGTAGTATATCATGTGCACTGTGCTCAGTTTTGCATGCTCATCTCAGACAACAAAAATAGCCACTAAATTAATCAAAACTTTGCCCCAAGAATGAAGGAATAAGTTATCAAGCGTATGGCCAGAGAAATACATAAATGCAAAATCAGAACAATGCTACAACGAATTCTGTACATGATCTTCTCCAATTGAGTAAATTCCTTAAGCACACAGTGAAAAGTTCCACCAGCTGCAGTTACTGTGAGTGCCTGGAGGGACTTACAGTGACTCAGGTTACTCCTTTGCATTCTGGCAGTGAGGCCTCATCTGTCTTGTCTTTGTTAAACCCAGAAGAAACTTCCATACAATTCAGGAGAAGGAGACACTTCTGAACATCCTGAAATAGCTTAAATAAAATTGCTCAAATCTTGGTGCAAGATATTACATTGCAGTACAGAAGTACATCAAGGCTAACACTGGAAGTGGTGTCTCTGTGCTTGGTGTAAAACAGCGGGAAGAAAACAAACCAAAATATCAATCTCTTTAACCAAAACAGTATCTATCTTTGAATCTGTTACCTCAGACTACCTGCCAGGCTTTTTTGACAGCCAAAAAAATGCTGGCCCAAAAAAAGAACCTGGAAAACTTCATGTTATTATTGCACCTACTTAAACCATGTTGCTTTGTTCTATTTTAGGTTGAATTAAGACAACAGAGTATGGTATTTACACTCTAAGATTCTATAGGCAA